GCGGGTGGGCCCCAGCCACAGCGACTTGAGGATGCTGGAGAGGAGGCGGTGCCCACTCCCGGGCCAAGGCTGGATGCTGGATGTGGCGCCAGGAAGTGTCACCCTGGAGCGCTTGCGTTTCACCCCTCCAGCCGTGGCAGGTCTGTGTCCTGCTGCAGAGTTGTCATCTGTGGTGGCTGGAGGGGCCTTGACCCCACAGGCCCTGCACCTGGGAGGTTTCCGCTCCAGGCCTTGGAAGGCGCAGTCCCAGTGACAGCCACCAGGGGCCAGCGACTGTGCGGCACTGTCCCCAGCCAGTAGGAGCCCTGCCATGGCTCTCCAGGGGTGGGCTAGGTGTCTTTGGGGTCCTGGGCAGCCAAGGACCCAGAAGAGATAGCTTTCTCATCTCTGCAGTTCTTGCTCCGAGGTTGTCTTCCTGGGGACAGGGCAGCCTCCACGGAGTGTCCTCAGGCTGGCTTCCCCAAGCGTGGACCCCCTGGTGTGTAGGTCTTCAGTGTCCCAGCCAGGCTCCTGGGGCTCAGAGCTGCTTGGAGGGACCTGGCTGGCTTGACCACTGGCGTGGTGCCTGGAAGGCTCGTCGGACTCACGGGAGACCCCAGGCGACTGGGCTCCCTGCCTGGCCTCTCTGCTCTGCCCTCTGGCCCCCAAGCTGGTGCCTGCCCTGTCCTCCCAGATGCGCTTCTGCGTTCCCTTCCCCGTGCCCACCTGCCCCCCTCCTCCAGGGGGCCTGTGGCTTCCTGTCCCCTCCTGTCCACTGCTGTAGGTCCCTGGAGGCCTGGCCTCACCTGCCCCTGCCAGGACCCTTCCCACCTTAGGGCAGTTCCCTTCTTCCCTGTCACAACTGGTGTCCCCTCTCGCTGACCCCCCCCAACCCTTTATTCTTTTACATTTCTTTCTTTGATGTAGGGGAGGGAGAGGGAGGAGGGACAGAGGGAGGGAGGAGGGAGGAGGGAGGACCGCCCCACTACCCAGTGGCCAGGCTGAGGGTGCCCAGTGCAGGGAGTGTGTACGGTGGCCTGCCCATGGCACCCGGGGGCGC